TCCATGGGCCGACAGTGGTCTTTCCATACCTTTAGTAGGACTATCAATTGCATATAATCAGACCTTCCCGGCTTTAAGTCGTGTATAAAGTGGGCGGATCTGTGCGGAAGTACCCCCAGGCTATTTTGGGAATTCTTCACGCTTAGTGATCTCCAGAATCAATGTTGAGACAGTGATGTTGTCTTCATTCATTCAATTATTCTAGTTGAAAATATTGTGAAATATTGCCTGTACATATAAGAAACTAAGGTGTTCTTTATTTCTCGAAATCTTTAACTATTTTCATTCTCCCGTGATGTTTAAAAAGAGATCTAATGTTATTACCTTTTTATTTTGATAATCATATCAAGCTGTACTTACCGCATGTCATTGCTACTGATTGACCTTGCAGAGTTTGTATAATTGTTTCTGGGGATGATAGAGTTTTGGGTTGATAATGTTGATAGATCGTCTCCAATTCACGTCGAATACACTCAAAACTTAATGGATCGTTAATACGAACATAAGATTTATTATTTTTAAAAGATACCAAACGAAATGGTATTTGTCGAAAAAAATTTTGTACAGTCTGTTTTGTTTCTGTTATAGATGTTGTTTTTTCACGTTTGTGTTCTTCAACCAAAATATGTTGGATAACACCCCCAATTGTTGTTGGTTTATAATCCGATTGCAATAATTGTTTATCGTCTTGCCGTATGACACCTGTGATTGCTGCATAGTCAATCGTTGTGGTTGTTGAGGGTAATTTTTTTAAATCATCGATATTAATATCAGTTGCAGACTATGCATAACAAAAAAATAAATATTTACAAAAAGCTTGTCAGCTTAGATTCAATGGTCAAAAGGCAGATCGCCGAAATTAAAAATTTTTCGTCCAGGATCTATGAAATGTTCAGAAATGAGAGAAAGAACTAAATTTGTTATAGAGGACCTTTTGTTCTACGAGTGAGAAGCAGTAAATTTCATTGGTCGTTCGTCGCGCACACAAACCGGTATAAAGAGTGGCGGGAAGAAATCTTACCATCATATTTACGTTCTTTCTATTATGCTAATTATATACGTCAACATTTCAAAAGAAAAGCATTGTTCGAATCTACCTTTATACGATGAAGTTTTTTTTCTGATATTTTCCATGCAATATAAAATCCAATCGATGCTGCTAATTCCAATAAACATGACACTTCGGCCATTTTTAACGCACTTTAAAATATTTTTTTTCCTAACAATAACTGTTCCTTTTTGTCTATTCGACTAGCAGTTTAATCAAAGATTATTCGAAACTTGATTTTCTAAAAGTACGTGAAAAATGAAAAATTTAGCTTCAGAAAACTTGTCAGCATACACCATCGGGAAGCTAACGATAGAATCTTTTCTCAGCGTGGTACCATAACGTTTGTTGTACATAATATGCGATGTGTAGGCATGCACCGATTTCGGTTAACCGAAACCGATCATAACCGAAAATATTGCACGAGTTCTTGAAAATACGTTTGACAGAATATGAAGGAAGCATCTATTATTGAATCAACAACTGTTCATCCAGTGTACAAAATCAGAAATAAGCCAAATAAGTGGTACTTCTGACTTTTCACCGTGAAGGAAGAGTTTCTCAAAACTGGCTTTAGCAACAAAAGTATGGTAAATTTAATTTCCTAGATTTTATTTGCTGGATGCACCTTTGCATAAATCGATCTTCATCATGAAAACTGATATTTACAGCTTTTCATGGTGAAGATCGATTTATGTAAAGGTGCCCCCAGCAAACAAAGTCTAAGAACTTAAATTTGCCATACTTTTGTTGCTAAACTCAGTTTTGGGAAACTCTT